GAGATCGAACAACCTCCCCGCCAGGCCGCACTATGGCCCAAAAGATTTTGCATGGACTTTGCGCGCACTTTCGGGCGTTCTAAAAGCCAGCCCTGGGCCTCCTAGGCCACGTTTCGGAGCGAGTTCCGGCCGGAGCGGGGAAGAAGGACTTACGCTATGAACGAAACAGCCAGAGACTACACCGTAACAGAGCGCAGTTTTGAAACATGGATATAAGAGAGAGCAGTCATGTCGCACTTGATTTCTGTGTGTAACTTGCATTTTACTTCCTATACGCAGAAAATAAAGTTTTTGTTGTATTGCATCTGTTTTTGAGCAAATTCCGCGATCCTAATTCTGTTTTCAGCAAACATTTGCGGGAGCATTATTTTCATGGAGTGTTATCGTTGCGATCACGTTATGATGTGGTTCAAAATCCACAGTGCAAAGTGCTTAACAACAAGTTCTCTGACAAGGGCAACCGGTTCTTGCATTGCACAGAGTGCATTCCAAATTCCTACTTTCACAGTGATAACAAGAATAATAAGGTTCCAAGAAAGAAGTTCTGCAACAAGACAAGAAGATGACGTGGCGTCGTCCTGGCACACTTCCAAACTATGGAAACAATTTAAAGTCTGCGCAGTACTTGCAATCTCTCTACTGGTTTGCCTCAAACTGTTTCTACACAACTGCTCAAAAGCATTTTAGTGCAAGTTTCATTTTATACCTTTTATGGTGACTTTATCAGTTCTGCCAACAGTTTTGGCATGTGTTGTTGCGTCCAGCTTTGCTTATCGGCTTAAGCAGCGTGTGTTAGAACCTACTAGAAACTATCACGGCACTTACCGAAACTTGTGAGCTAAGCCAAGGTAGGTGGGTAGGTGTTATTCATGTTGCACACCGGCCGGGCCCACCCTCCGTGCGAATGTTCAAAGCGTTCATGAGCGACCGTTCAATACTGTATCAGTTCATCCGTGTTATTGTAAGTGTAAACGTGGTTTATTTGGTGTAGGCTGTGCGAACTAGCAGCATTTGCCATGGAACGACGCGGCTTTTTGGCAAGTACAAGTTGCAGCATTTCAAGGCCATACTCGTTGCACAACGTCTGCTTGTCAATGTCTGTTTGTCTGTGTTTGTTTGTATTTGCATGCCGTACTTGGATCGATGACATTCGCCCTTGGGCCGAATCGTGCTCTGCAAGGTTAAGATGCAACGCATGCAAAGAAGGGAAGGTCGGTGTGCCGCCACTGTGAGAAACAGCATTTGCCACGCCCTCAAGTGTTTTTGCAGGCCGTTCGGATGAGCGAATTCCAATGGTGCGGCCCTCATGCCATGCATGAACTTGCGGTGTTTGCCGTTTTTTGTCGCCAGGTGTTGGACAAAGCTGTGTCCACGAACATCCGGTTGCAGGCGCTGGCATTTTCCACCGATTGACTTCGTGCAATCGTTGCTGGATTCGTCCAGACACGACAGGTGTTCTTGCAGTTCGGAGCTTGGTTCGATCTCCTCTTTGCTGTGCTTGAGGCACAGCTTTGCTCGTTTGCTTTTGCGAGACGAGAGTTGACGCTTTTCATTTCAGAAATACTTAATGCTTGGATGGGCCCTGGAAGATGCAATCCCACCGTCACTGGAAGTAGCTGTACCGCATGCAGATTTTCTCTCGGGAAGCTGTGCAATCGACACGCGATCTTTCGGATGTTGCCTATGTTTGAATCGGCGTGCACAGATCGAACGGTGCAAATGCGAAAATCAGAGACCTTTTCAGGATGTTCTGAAGGCATTGTTTGTGTGACTTGGGTATGGTCGTGGACGTTGAACAGTGGCGCTTCTTGCCAATGTTCTTCTATATTACAATCCACATCCAGAGACCGACAAGTGTTGGGGTCTGAATATACGGCAACGGTGGATGTTGTTCAGTTCATGACCAATGTACAGCATGTGTAGATATTGTGTAGTTACATGTTGGCCTGCTTCGTGACGTTGAAGTGTTGTTAGTCTTCAAGTTTACAATTTCGTTCACGTTTACAGTTTCATTCACGGTTTTTGCATGGACTCCCGCGACTTCTCATTCAGAGCATCCTCAACTTGTGATTGCTACTTTTCTCGCTCTTTCCAAGAAGAGGGGTGGGGATGGTGTGGAAGTGGTGTTCTGACACTGTCACAAGGCGCTTGTTTTGTCCCACCATTTCCAAGATCCCAGTAGGTTCTGGACTGTGCTTACGGCAGGTGATTGCTGGCTGGGCCAAGCATCGATGGAGCGCATGTGAATGAGATGACCGGTACATTCTCTGCTTCTGCATTGAATCTGTTTTGCAGGATTAAAGGAACCGTCGTCGTTGCCATCTTGTGGTTCCCGGCCATGTCTTAGATTCAGCCAGATTACAGTGTACCTGCGGAAAATGACAGCATCAACTATTTGCTTTGCTTCGTTCTGGAGCCTTGCCGCCTCTACCTCGGATATGCCGGTAATTTGGGCGAGAAGGCACGAGTCGGCATGAGCATGTGAGCTGTAGGAAGAACGCGCAGTATCTGTACAGGTGCCAGAGCTCTTTCTCTTCGTTTTCCTGTGCATGGGGTGGCATCCCGAAACGTGCGTCCAATTGCTGTCTGTTGCTAGCTGCACGCCCCGGCTCAGATGTGTCGCAATTCTCCTGGCAGAGTTAGTCCTTTGAACCTCGGTTGCAAGCATGCGCCAAGCAGAACTCGAACCTCTGGATGATGTCCTGGCACGAAGTTTGAAGGCGAGATTCTTGAATCTCTGCAACCCGCCAACTGCAGCTTTGCCCCTGTGTTGCATTAGTCACACTGCTCAATGCTTGATGATTAGCAGAAAGTGAAACAGGCACAGAGGCCGCGAAGCACAGATGCTGAGGCTCCGGAATTGCCTTGCATTCTCCCAATGGAGCAGGCAGCAAGGGGAGGGCTCCCAACATGCTCGGAGTCAGTGCGTGAAGTCTGAAGGCATGCTGGATCGTGCGGCTTGCTCTTTTGGTTTGCGAACTTGCGCTTGGGATCCGAACTCTGCGCAGGACGGGATGCTAGCTTTCTTCCTTCTGCGCATTAAGTCTTTTCGCGCTTGAGCCAGGCTGATCCATGACCAGTCTGCCCGTTTCTTCGTTGCCTTGGATTCGCCGGAAGGCCAATGGTCTGTTTAGTATTTTCGGCCGGCCAGTAGTTATGCTCGCCTAGGTCTAATGCCCGACCCGGTATTGTGGTGCAGTCCTTGCGAGCGAGCAGCTTCTGCATGACCGAGTAGAATCTCAGGGTTTTGACATTGTGAACCGCGATGCTCAGAGCTCAAGTTTGTAAGCACAGCAAGCCTTCCATGGGCTTTTCATCAGCTTTGTCATTCCTTTATACATCAAGCCTTAAGCCCACGGCCCACGCATGCGCACCGTGCGATCAGAGTCATGCCAGTTCAAGTCTCTGTGCTTCGGATGCGGCGAGGCCAGTCATTTGATGACCTGAGCAGGCTCGACACAGTATCCACAGGACTGGACGCCGACGAGCTTTTAGAGATACCATGTTGAACAAAGAAGGGTGAACTCGAGTGGCCGCGTGTCTTCACTGTGGGCCTAGGAGGGCAAGAAACTCGAGTGGCACGAGAGCAGCGGCCCAAGAAAGACGCGTGAGTCCGGATTGTGAGGAATCGCGGAGTCAGAGTTAGCTTTTTGCAACAGATTGCAATCGGTTGCGCTTCGGCTCGCGGCTGGACAGGCTCGGACAGAGACCAAGGCCAGAGCGAGACAGAGGCTCTGGTTCTGCGGCCCTCGTATGCGCTGCCATGCATGCCTGAGCAGCTTGGAGGCCTTGCAGCTCAAATATATGGGCGCCCTTCTCCTGAACTGAGCAGGCTCGGTCGGTGGGGATGAAAATGGATCGTTTCTTCCGATCTGCTGCAAGGCCGCATGCCGATTGATACGCTCTCTGGATCTTCTCTCGTGCCCTACGAGCTCCCTGACCTTGGACCTTCGTCATACCGAAACTACAAAGCAAGTTTCCAAATTACCTTCTCGAATTTACAACCAGGCCGTGTGCTGCAGCTTGCGAAAATTGCATCCGTGTGCGATCATGTCGGCACTTTTGTGAAGTTGGCGGGGCCACGGCACTTTTGGCAGATTCGAGGCGCTTTCAGCTCAAGCACTGACCCGAAGAAGCAAAACAAATCAAGATGCCTAGCAACAAACCGCTGACCGGGTAACTGACCCATTCGCATCGGTGCAGCTGTACACATCTAGATTACGCATAGGTGCCACGTTCATTTCTGAGCTTCGACCTTAGTTGGACAGTTGTAGGTGCGTAAACAACATGTGCTGTCACGTGCCTGAGGTGGGCTGCTGAGGTGCGCTGTTGGTAATGCCATTTGTTCGAGACCACTCGTCGGGGCCCTCCGCCTTTGTTGTTGTCGTTATTGTTGTTGTCAGTTGGGAAGTACCACCTGTGACTGCGACAGACTTACAGACATATGCATATGAGGACGCGGGAGTTACTCCAGCAGGACAGCTACAAGCCGCGGCAGGCACAGTGAATGCGTTGTGTGATCGTTGGTCCACCCGATGTTACTCGAATGCGTTGTCGTCTGGCAGGAGAGACCACATGCAGGTGGCATTCAAGAAGATGTGGATGAGGAGGAGGAAGCGCAGCGTCCTGGAGGCAAGCAAGATGTGTGGTAAACAAGATAAGATCAGCCGCTCTTCGGTTGGCAAGGGCATTTGGTCGAGCCTGATCGGCTTTCTTGGCAGATGCACAACCAACGAACTCGTACAGCCATGCGGCCAGGATACATTCCAGTTGCCGGGTTTCGGGCTGAGAGTCTCCTTTCTTCAGCTTGCCGTTCATGGTGCATACTACAGCTTGTTGAAGGCAGCCCATGCCACAGACGCAGAGAAAGCTCCCGCCTTCGGATGTGGTGATGGTTTTCCCTTACAAGGTGCCGGCTTCCCCTTTGCCTTCCACCTGCATGCAGCAACACATTTCGCTGCGTTAAATATCGTTGAATCGATGGAGCTGAGTTTGCCCACTGGCTCTCCAGTAGCAACTAGTTCAGCAAAAATCTTCCCTGCAGGCCGTAATAAAAATGCCTTCTATCCCATGTCGACACAGAGAGTCCAGTTGAGATTTTGATTTGGTCGATTGAAACACTGTAACACGGCGGAAGCGGTGTGTTTCCGGCGCCATGGACCAGGCCCCGCGGCTGCCCGTTTTGCAAAAGTAGAAGGAAAGCTTCTGTTGGTGAGCAGAGGCAGAGGTGCAAAGAGCTCAGCTGGTCGGACCTTTGGCTCCTCTGACCGAGCTTGAGGTGAGGGTCCAAGGGGCTAAGGGCTAGCGCGAGGCAATCCATTCAACCCCATTCCCATGTGGATCCAGGCAGAATATGCCGAAAATCCGGCGTTTCTCGCAAAGGCCACTGCACAGAGCCGGCCAGTGATTCAGACATGACCCTGTTTCTTTCGTAGGTGAAGAGCTTGGAAGAAAGGTTCTCGAGCTTTCGTCGGCTCCTTTCCGAACCTTTTCTATGTTATATCAAGAGCAGGTTGATGCGATTTGTGTGCAGAAAAGGCAGAACTTCCCCTGACGGCAATTGCTGCTCGGTTGCATTTGCTTGGAAGTGTTGCGAGCAAGCAAGCAGTTTGCATGGTGTTCAACTCTCCTGTGCTGGATAATGTTCTGAGGCTTCTACCGAGCCTATCTGTTTGGTATCTTCGAGCAGTTGGTTGGCAACAAGGATGCGTGTTTCTGAAAGATGACAAGGAAGCTAATCAGCTAATGCTTGGAGCGGAGTGTCAGGAGCGCCATGCCGCTTTCGCCAGCCACCTGAAGGCGGCACTAGATTTCTGCATTGGAGCAGGCTATGAGAAGGCACAGCGCTTCGAAGCTGGTCCTGACCAGACCATGCTTCCTTTGCTATCATGGTACTCGTAGGTTGCCATCGAAGATTTCTACGAGGAGTTCATGGCAAGTATCGATCGACTTGGCGATGGCTCTGCTGCAGAGGCCTGGCCTGGCCACCCACTGGTCTACCAGTCCGAGTGAATGGCAGCAAATGCAGGCTGTTATGGAGGAGAGCAGTGATGCTCTTGTTTGTTGGACTCGAGTCCTAACGCCGCATATCTGCAGATGGGGAGGTATGTTTCGTGAAGCTATCGGGGTGCTTTGCCAGTGAGGTCAGCTTCCCTGAAGCAGCGAGCAGAGGCGAAACGGTCGAAACATGAGAGCAGGTCACAGCAGGTTAAACGTTGTGCAGGGGGTGATTGCAGGAGCTTGGTGGGTTCCTGACATCGCACTCGTCTATCCATCAGTTCTGCGCGCAGGAGGCACTACTGCAAATAAGTGGTTCTGGTCGACCTTTGCATTGAAACGTTGTTGTGCAAGCTCTGTGTGCAAGTCTCTTGTGGGGTTGGCGTGGAAGTAGTCTGAATCTATGGAATGATAGATAGTGCGAATGAGTGTGAGTGATTGGCATGTTTGTTGATTTGTTTTGTCCATGTCCGTGATGCTCTCAATAATCCGAATCAGGATGTTTTCGTTGGATTCGACTTTTCCGCACGGACAGGTGGATCCAATGAACACTGAAGCAGATCATCTCCAGATAATAGCACTTTCGGCGCATCTGTCAGTGCCTGCCTGCGCCTGAGGAGTCGTTGAAACTCTTAATCATCATAATTTTTGAGGCACATGGGACGCAAGCACTGCGGCTCTGCTCTTCCTTTTGGTCTGAAATGCACTTTGGGAGCTGTGGGAGCTCCTGGGCTCTGGCTTCGAAGGCGTCGGGTGTCCCGAGAGACTCCGACCCTCGAGACGAGATTGGATTGGTGGGGAATCAGATCGATCACTGCAAGGGGTGCCGGAAGCGGTGCAAAATGCAGAGCAGACGAGAGACACTGGGAGGGTGTATGGCCCGAGCACAAGACTCTACATGAACACTTCCCAAGCATATGGCCAGCGCAAAGCCTAGGTCACTGTTGTGTATCTGGACAGATCTGCTGGCGCTGCTGCTGCCGAACATGGGTTTGTCGGCCTCGCATGTGGTGTCTTTCACATTTGGAGCAAGAAGTCATGCATGCAACCTGTCGAGGCACATGACACAAGCCTTCCGTTTTCGCCCGTGTACTTGCTCTACCGTCCTGGGCGATGACCTAAGATGAGTTGCCCGTGCATGGGTTTTGGCTGGATGATGGAGCGTTGCATCACTCGTGCTGGAGGCATTACGATGTACTGTATCACCATAGTGGGCCAACGCCGTGACGCTTCGGAAAAAGTCCGTGTGCACCATGCCGAACGAAGCTGGTGAGACTCCGAAGCTGCCTCGGAACCGGAAGCCCGCAGACCAACGCGCATCTTCGTTGGGGCGATGCGGCGGCAGAAGAGGTAAGAGAATGCAAAGTGAGCACTAACTCAAAGGCTTGAAAGGAATGTGATCAGATACGTGGCCAGGAAGCTCGTGGGCTACGACAGCCGACCGAGGATCAGATTCGTCAGATGGAATCCTGGAAGGCACGCAGCGAATTAGTCCTCGGATGTTACAGCTTACGTGAATCGTCCTACGGTCGGAAGGCCAAGCGCAATACGGTGATCCATACGTTGAGCGACACAGGGCTGGTAACGCACTGAGACTGCAGATGCCAAGGATTAGCAGCAAGACTGGTTTGTCTGGGATGTAGCCAGACAAGTCTAGGTCTTGATGCTTTACTACTCGCGAGACCGCGACGAAATCTTCGCCGGCTGCCAATTTGTTTTGTCTGCTTGGATGGGCTGGGCATGTCGGTGCCGATAAGGTTCGAATAGCTGCTGATCCACAGCATCTTCGGCAGGTCGCTGCTTGAGACATCGCAGTCCTTTGGACCCCTCCTGTCTTCAGGTTGCAGAGATGATTCGGTATCAACTCGAGTTGAAACCGCACGAAGCCATGTGTTGGGAAAGTGTGTCAAAGCACATGCGGTTCCCGGTAGTTTGTCGCTAAGTCTCAAGGCAGTACTTGTCGGCATTTGCGGATTACAAAAACGACTACGCAGGTTCGAGCCTTACAGATGGACTCTGCCACCGCAATTCGAGAGACAGCGCATCTTCCGAAACGAAGCACAACACCACGGTAAATCCGTTTGCTGCTAGGCAGACGTGACATGAATTATCGTGACCGCTGCGTTGCACAGATCTCAGCTGCTATCGGAACCTACGGGAGTCTTATTCTTGTTTGTGCATGTTTTGTTTGCAGGTTTCGCACTTGTACGAGACGCATGCCGACAAGGAGAAGGAAGGAGACTACCCGCAAAAAGGCGCGAAGCCCAGACAAAGGATGACAAATGATGACAAGGGTTTGTCCCCGGCCAAAAGCATTTTGCTGAGATGCAATCTTCCGCACGGTGGATCGGCTCCGTCTCATCGATCACATCGCTACTGACTTGGATACAAGCTGGCACATCAGTATTAGTGCAGATCCGTATTGTACACTGAAGGTGCGCAGTGGTGATCGAAGCTGTGCTGGCATTGATGTTGGGCAGCTGTTGCACGAGCCGCTGCCTTTGCTGTCCGTGTTGCAAAGTCTCAGACGGAACAACGAGCTTTCCCAGCAGCACTCTGTCTAAGTGGCGACCTGATCCATTACTTCCCGCTGCACGAGCAAGGCCGACAGTCGCATCACACGTAGACTAGGTCTCCACTAGGTGACCATGCCTTGCCCGCTTCTGCAGGAAAGCTGCAGGACATGGACAAAGATTGGTTCAAGACCTTTGTCATCGGACGCAACATCTACAAGGCTGTTGGCTGTTGCGATGCTCAACCCCCAAGTCTTGCAGCAACTCAGCGGCTCGAGGTCCGGGACTATTTCGGTGAGCGCATTGCGCTGTACTTCCTTTTCATGTGGCCTCCTTAGCTGCTGACTCACCACTCCGGCTGCGACACTGGCAGTTGCGACCTGCAGCTTTAATTGCGAGGTCTCACTTCATCAAATGGATGGTGATACCGACTTTAATCGGCTGCTTCTGCTGTGTCCCAGCCTCAATAGCTTCATTCCAAAAAGACACCGTGCTTTGTTTTCACATCAGCGCCAAGCAAGTCTTCTCAGCATACAGCAGACGGCACGTGAAGGTGCACAGAGTTTCTTCTCAGTTGAGTTTGTCTTATCCGTGTTGATTCCAGGCGACCTTGCTCTATCTTTCTTTCATGTCTGTGATAGGCGAAAACCTGAACATCTCCAAAGACATGTGCGTGTGGTAAATTCAAAGAACAGCGCCAGCTGAAGTGGAGTAGAGGCGAGAAGTAGGAAGTTGCTTCCACGGGTCATGTGGGCCACTTCCAGACATCGGATCAGACATTGTAGCCAGTTTTGTCTCTACTCCTCGTCGTTTCTCTCACTTCGAATCAGACCATGTCAGTGTGGGCAGATATTATCACGAGCTGCAAGTTCCGTGCAGCCTTTCCGTTTCGAGAGAATTGCAGGACATGCAGCGTGGATTCGCCTATGGTGACCATATTGCGAATTAAATTACGGATCTAGGGTTTGTTTCCTGCAGCCTTCTCAATTCTCGATAGCGGAAGAACCAAGATGGCTGCATCTTCAAAGCCGGAATCGACTAATCACTGGAGCACGGGAGACCCGAAGAACACACACTGCCGCTTCGCCATCGGGCCGCGGCCGCACGTTGTCGAGCGCTGTGTTTCAGGTGCTCGACCTGTTCATGGGGACGCCCAACAACTGGACGGCGATGTTCCTCTGCATCGGCACTGGCCTAAAAGAGCTGCCCCTTTGCGCTCCTCTGGGCAACCGTTACATACAACCCATTTTGCTTCTTCCGGCGAGGCGTCGGACTCTTCTCAACGACCTTCATACACTTCTGGCGAAGAAAGTCCAATCTCTATGCTCTGAAGCGCTAGCCTCATTCCTCGCTCAAGTCGTGCATAGAGCAGCCGTTTGCAATCCCGAGGTGGGGGACGTTTTCTATGAAAAAGAAGCCTGAACCAACCAGACCAGAGTTCTATGGGGTCGGAATCCTATCCAAATCTGAATGTTTACTTTGCTGTATCCATGTCGATTCGACAATGCTGTGAGGTAAGCCGCATCAACCCCATCACCAGCAGGGTTGACAGGCATTCGTGCTTCGCAATAAGGTCTCGTTGCCTTGCCGTTGTGACACCGCGAGGTTCTACCCTTGGAGCGAACGGATATGGAAAGTCCTTTTCAGCTATTCTGTCATTATGGAGCCTTGGCTATTTTGATGGCGTGTGTGGCACTGTTGATGTGCTGATTCCACAAGCGGGTGAGTTGGCTAGTGCACGCAGAGCAGAATAATGCTTCCACATAAGCGAGCACAGATGGATTGTGAGCTACGGCTAGCACTTTGCACGTTTGTTGGAGCCAGCCTGGCCAAGAGGTACGATGTGAAGGCCTTACACGCAACGGAAGTACAGGTGTCCCTCATCGCCCTCTTTTTCGTGGTCGGCATTCTCATGGTGCTCCGCCACATTTTCCACAAGAATGGTGGTCGAATCACTTTCCAGGCTGGTTTGGGAAGTCACGTGCTTTTCTTCCTGATGCCGGACTGTTCTGAGGTCATCAACGCACTGATCGTGGAGTTGTTGAATACCCTCTTCACAAGCCTTGCAAACTGGCTGACGGACACCTTGCAATTGACCTTGCAGTCGTTTGTAGCATCTGCTTTGAGGGCCATCGCACCCTCCGCTTCCTGGACGTCACCCTCCCCGTCTTCTGATGTCACTACCACCACAGCTTATGCGCAGCCCTGACTCATGCATTGCAGGGGCGGCCGGTAGGGTCTGCGCACACTTCCCGCGCTTGAGAATGTATTTCACGGAGCTCAGTACAAGACATGGGGGGAACCTCTAGGGAACCTCCAGACTCCATTGTCCGGCTGCCTGAAGCCACGGAGGCTTCAGAATCTAAGCACCTTCTGAATTCTACAACGTCCCAAGCCAATGCACAATCCATTGCTCGTCTCTGTTGCTCCCCCGAGGAGGCTGCCTGCTCCTACTTTGACTAGGAGATCAAACCCCTGACCATGACAAGAGCCTAAGTCCAAAGCACTTGCCGCAAGAACTTCCAATTTCCTTCTACGCCTCGAGTTTGTGTCGACGTGCTAACTGCATGCTCGCAAGCTCACGTGGGCAGGGCAACTGCACAGCAAGGTACTGTTTGCCAGGGCTGCTCACGGAAATTCTTTGAGACTTCCGAGAACGGTGCGAAAACCGGGGCTGGCACACGTTGGAGTCTGCAAACATCCACTCGGCATGAAGGTTTCTTGTTATTGAATGCGCACTTGATGCCTTAATACGACCGGGTTCTTGCCCCGATCGCTCCACTCCCCTCCGTTTGCTGCGCTGTGGGTGCGGGTTTAGACTGCATGCCCTCGTCTTCATGGGTTGTTGAATTCTCTGTGCTGGTGCGATGTTTGTCGCAGGCTCTGGCTTCCTGCAAGATCACTCTTTCTTTTCTGCTTCTCCGTACACCAGAAGTAGCAAGAACACACCTCCGGGTGTGACGTATTTCAGGCATGGAGATCACGATAGGTGTTCTTGCATAGTATGGTGAGCTACATCTTGGCCTCGCTGTCAGAGTTGCGATCATGCGAGATGTTCCGGACATCATGCAGGACCGGGAGAATCATCGCTCTTACTCAGAACATGCGAACCACCTATTGGCATCGCACCCATTTGTGATAGATTGTTTTGCACGCGATATGGACCTGCGTGAATTGTCTGTTTGATGCAGGCCAAGATGGTGGTTTTCAAGTTCATCAACTGCTACGTGTCGCTGTACTATATTGCCTTCTTGAAGGACATGTTGATGTCCGACAAAACATGGTTCACGAGCCGAAAGCATGATTGTTGGAAGCAACAGGCACATTCGTATCTTTTTGGGATGCCAATGACGTGTGTCAACGACGATTGTCTGGTTCTGAATTGACAGATTCGGCCGTGTGTGAAAGTTACCTGCAGCCCTGAGAAGATGCAGCGTTGCTTTTCCCAAATCTGCCGCTCCAGCCCAGGTCTCAACGACTTGGGCTCACAGCTTGCAATTTTCATGATCATGAGGCACCAGGGAGTACAGCGGAGGGGGCGGCAGCTTGGCATTTTGTAGCCCTTTGTTGATAAGAGGTGTTCTTTGGCATTCGTGCGTAGATCCACACAGCACTGGGCTTGGACAAGAGCAAGATGTCTGGTCGGCACTGCCATTCCGACTTTTTTCACACAGATGCCCTTTGCTAGGCTGCGGACTGAAGAACCCCTTACTGTCTACTTCAGTACCCGGCAGGCTGACCGTGCAAAACATGATCGAACTTGGTGCTCCGTCAACTTCTGAGACGATTCCTGTACTGTACAGCGTTGCTAGTAGCTAGTTGTTGCTGTCTGAGGTATGCAGTCATGTACTACAGGGAGTACACAGAAGGCGGCTGCTGACAGAGTGTAGCGCGGTTCGCCCATGGAAGCGTATTGCTATTGAGCAGATGTGTGGACCAGCGCAGAAGCACGCCCGTGACAACCTGCGAGCAGGAAACACCTTCAAGACCTCCCTCTTCACGCATTTCTGGCCTGTTTAAATGTATTTAGCTGTTTTCGGACATTTAGGTACTTCTTTCGCCTGTAGTCCCACCCTGTTGGATCAGGAATCCGATGACGATCATGCTTGCCTCTGAGTCTTGTTTATGGTGCGAGTTTCTTTGGGGCATGTAGCTTTGCCAAGGCCAGATCTATCCAGTCCAGAGAAACAGAGCAAAAAGGAGGTTGGCATGCTGTCTGGAAATCTCAAATCTCAGATTTTTCCCGGCTGTTCTGGCAACGAGCCGCAGGATTACGATGTGTACCAGGACATGGATGAGGCATCGCAGCAAGTGCACTGTCCTTAAGACCCACAGATGTGCTTTCTCAGGTGTTGATTCTCTACGGCTATACCGTGCTCTTCGTCGTCGCTTGTCCGTGGGTACGCCTTCTTCATTCAGTCGTCTTCCCGCGGGCTGCTCTTGCCTAACTCAGCTCATTGAGACGGTCGTGCCAGATTCCCCTGATCACAATGATCAGCCTTGTTCTGGAGTTCGATGCCCAGCTTCTCTCAGCTTAGTCCTGCATTGTACACGGAAGCAAAGAAAAACCTCGGAGAGGGAGACTAACCTCAAGATGAGTCTGGTGTAGAAGGGCTGAGGGAGTCCTGCTGCCTTTTGGCCCGAAGGGGCTGCACGCATGTGGTCGTAAAAGGCTCCAAGGTTCAGGCCTCGCTTGTGATGACACCAGCTTGTGACTGTAGGTGCTTCATGGATCAGAAGAAGCTGGTACTTCTTTTTCGCAGGCATCGTGGCCAGCTGGTGGCTGGTGCAAAGTGAATCGCAGCTGTGCAGGCCTTTCCCATCACCAGCTTCCAACAACGAGCCCTGGGACACTGCTTTCGATGTATTCGGCATGTGTCGGGCTTAGTATCACTGTCTCTGCTGCGCCGCTTGCTGGTGTGCAGACGAGGATTGCAATGGCTACGAACACCGCCGTTGTCGTGTTTGCTTCGAACGTCTTCGCCAGCTGGAGACTTGCGCTAGTCACTAGTCGTAATGTTGGGGTTGTATGGGGTTGTAATAAATCACCCCCCCATCCCCTCGAGGTTGCTCTGTCCAGGGTCTCTTGGGGCGGTCACTGGGTTGGGGGGTTGCAACAAAAAACCTCTGGCCGGGTCGTAATAGCAGTAATATGCAGTAATAGTATCATGGTAATGGTACAAGTAGTCTGGCTACATGCCAAAGTCTGCAGCTCTCGAATACCAAAGCCTCTGGCTTGAGGCACACTAGCTGCTTTTGAAATAGCCTCCTGAGGAAAGCCTTTCCCCGGGGGAGTATTTTATTGTCACCCATTTATCAATGCGATCAGCACGGCTCGTGGGAGATACCCTTGCCGGCTGAAATGGCCCTCCTGAACAGTTGCAGCAGCTCGTGGAAGCCAGAGTCCCTAGTTTCATGCCAAAGCGTGCAGCTCCCGAATACCAAACGGTTTTGCTTTGCTTGCCGAAGGGTGGAGTGAAACGTCTCTGGAGCTGCACTCTGCGAGCTGGTAGTACAGTGAGATGTCTGAGGAACTGGGTTCTGCCAGTTGGGTTTAGGGTCTAGGCTTTTTTTGCCTTTTTGTCTAAAATATTTGAGCTCTTCCTGAAGCCAGGCCCTAAAATCTTTTTGGGGATTTGGGCCCGGAATATTTTAATCGTCACCGCTTTATATGTATATATATATATATATATATCACCGGAATCCCAAAACAATTGTTTGGCCGGACCTGGGCTGATCTGGGCGCGCAATCTAAAGTAGTCTTCCGAGCAAAGTGATGCTAGCACTCTGCAGAAGCAGTTCATTAATTTGTGGTCACAGGAGAATTCAAGACTATAGACCCTTTTGCTGCGGTTGTGTTGTGCCTTCTTGTACTAGTTTTGCGTTGTGGTTTCACATAGGACATGCGCTCAACCGCTAGTGCTGTTACCGCCAAGGCTGCTGCAGCAGTCGTCATCAAGCGTGCGTGTGTCTCTGCGTGTCTGTTTGCGTGCGCACGCGCGCGCGCGCGCATGTGGAGCCTGAGTTCGAAGCGAGACAGTTCGAAACAACACAGCCGTTGACCGCACATCTGCGCTTCTTCAACTGCAAACCACGAGCACAAAGGCACCGTGACTCAGCACCTCCAGCAGTTCCAGCTGACAGAGGCAAGAGAACATATGAGCCTACGACATCAGCAGGGCTGTACCTGAGAAGACTGGCAGCCGCACAAAGAGCTGCGCACTACGCTCGCCAAGACAAGGACCTAAAAGATAAAGAACACAAATCAGCGGTGCGGCGGCATAACTCTGAGAGCACTGTGATGTAAGCTTACCAGTCGATGATGCTGCTGACCTGACGCAAGTAATCTGCTTATTCCATGCTGGGACCTTTGGAGCATTCAGACATGGCTGGCAATCTGGAACTCGTGCTGCCGGTTTGCCCCTTTTCACTGCAAGTGCCTGGCCAACACAGATCGGGCCGCGCAAGTTTCCCGCAACGTGCGCAGGTTTGGCCTTGAAGAGATTCGCAAATCCTGAATCCATGACTGCATGCATGACTGCTGCTGCGTTTTCGTCTTCGGGTTTGTCTTCAGTCCGACTATGGTGTGTTCTCCGTTTTGCATACACCCTCGCAATGAATCATTTCGAGCATGGGACCGCGTTCATCACTCTTCTCTCATTGCATTGCCTGATCTGTCATCAGATACCTCGTGTGAGGAGTCACCACCACAAGATCCTGCTGTTTCTGGTCGTGGAGCACTGCATGATTGCATTCAGGCCTCGCCATTGCGCACTGATCTCCTGCAAACCATGGTGGCCACATTCTTTGTCGGAACCAACCCCAGACTCTTTCAGGATACTCATGTCCACGCTTTTCCCGGCTGTTCCCTGGGAGGCTTGTGAGACTTTTGAATCTTGTCCGATGCGACAATGAGCTTTCAGTGGATGCAGGTGCGGATGCTGGCCATGCAGCAGCAGGTCATGGTCCACAGGCTCTGTTCGCCATGGAAATAGCCACCTGCACAGCTTAAGCACGTTGCTCACTGTTTGGAGATCAGGCACTTGAATCTTGGCGGGGAAGAGGATGACCACGAAACACGAGCGAGTGCTGCGGCCTTATGCGGGTGAATGAAAGAACATGTGAATGACACACTTCAGCCAACTAGCATGCTGCGGCGGGGCCTCGCTTGTTAATTGAACTGTGGAAGCCTGTGTTTTTGAACGTTATCACACCGCCATTCGTCACACTAGGCGATGATGGCAACCGCACAGCCTCCTCCGCTTGTACATGACGCTGATGAGGAGGAGGACAGCTGACCTCGCCTATCAAAGCGCCGTCTGGATCGAAAGTCAAAGTTGTGGGAAGTTGTGGGTGCTGCAGTACTGGTACACCTGACTTTTTGCAGCGCGCTGGGAGCCTAGCTTGGCAAGTTCGTTTTGAGCTCAAGCCTGGCTCATCTGGCGGCAAGGCTGACATCTGATGCAAAACAGCAGAAACGGATGTTGGAGCATTTCACCTTGAACTCTTCACTGAGAGATTCTTTTGAAGCTTCTCACTTGCACGCTATGGCTAAGTCCAAATTCGCTCATCGAAGTCGGGGTCCTGTGTTGTTGCTCCAGATAGCTGTCGCTTTACTAGGTTATTGTATCTGTGCAGCCGACGTTGTGCATCGCGTCGGATCTGTGCTGAAGGGCATGAAGGTACCGTGTTCGGTGAAGCACTGGAAAGATCCCATTCCTAGCCCGAAGTGCCTAAAAACTATGTGCTCATCAAGCTGCGATTTGTGTCGGCTTGCACTCTAGCTGCGATGAATTCTCGCATCCTGCAGTTCGGGCATTTTCACCAATTCTGAGTGTGCTAGGTTTCCAAAGAGGGATCAGCGCAACATGAAACGAAAATTATCAGCCAGGTGAGTCAGCAGTTGTCGCATGGGCTGCAGTGAATGGCTCAACTGAGATCAGCTTGCCGCAGCAGTTGCTCCGGAAAGGCCCACACATAGACACGATAATACAGGCCTTCCAAATAACGATATCGATCCATGTCTGTGTCGGATGGTAGGGACTGTGATACTTTACGAAGAAGTTGCTAGCCAGGACTCCGTCTGACCGGGCCAAGGGTATCGTCTGAATGGAGTGTGATCTCCTGGAGCCCTCTGGTGCCGTGGCGAGCCGGGCCCTAACGAAGAGCTTATGGCGATTCTGATGACCATCTGAAGCCCAGGTTCGAAGCCATGTCCACCAAGACGTCGACGCTTCTCTGAGGAGCGGCCCAACATGAGCAAGTGGAAGCACTTTCTTTATTAGCTAAGGTCGCTGAGGAAACCTCCTCCAAAACACCAGTGTCGAGCAACAGAATGCACCCCGCTGCCGCTTTTCGCGATCTCCAAGAAGCCCTCTTGTCTACAAGACAGCGAAGATTCCTAGCCGGACAGGAGTACGGAGAGGAGCGATACTATACAGATCCCTACTACAGTTAGTCGAAGTCACTTCCGTCGCTGCTCGCTATCTCGTCCCTGTCCCTTTGCAGGTCGCTTTGGCTGGCAATGTCTGCTTGCAATGAGAGAAACCAAGGAAGGGCCGGTCTGGCCCCTCCATTCGACCCTCGCGCTATCTGTGCAGCACCAGCATTATACACAAGACCCAGGCTAGACCCAATATTCTGCACGTTTCACTACTGTGTATTGCTCTGAAACCCGTGAAACAACTGGACCAAGAAGCAGAACATGATTGAAAACCGTTGCAAACGGGTACTTTTGCATCTGTCACGATTTTGACTGCACATTTTCCGTGTTGTCTATTATCTTTTTTGCGGTTGTTGTCGTCTCATCTTCTCGTTTCGTTCTTAGACTTTCGCCCTTTCGCCCTCGCAATCCTCGCACACTCCCTCCCTTGCATTGGCTCTTCCATACCCTGCGCGGTCATTACACCTCTGAACCGTTCGCGCCCGGTTGTTTCTGTCAGATCCGAAGGAGACATGAGATTTACCGAGTGACATGCATGCTACTGCGACTGCACTCTGCAGAGCCGCTGGCTGCTTCTTCGTAGGCTTCAAGTATGTGTACGATTTATCATTGGTGTTTGACTGTTTTTGGAGGGCGGGGTTCTTGCTTTCCTGACCTCTGCCGCTTTTTGCTTTTTGGTTTCCGCTTTTTCTCTGCCTCAGCTGTTTCTGCTGTTTTTTGTTGTGATGTTTGCTTTTTTGCTCTTGTTTTGAAGCCCCTCTCCGCTCAAAAGGTCCTACTGTGACCAAGGGAGCCACGGTCCCAAACCCGTGGGTCACTCGCCATGGAAACATGAGGTGCTATATGATTGGGGTGAGGGTGGACTGAGTGCACGGACTCAGTCCAGACTGCCATGCAAGCCAATGCTCGCGATAGGGGTGGGAACGCCCGTGCAAGAACCACCAGCAAGCGCAGCATAATGCGTACCATCAGGCTTTTCTTCCTGCAAGGTTGGGCATGGTATAAGGGCAATCTTATCTCAGATGCCGGTCGACTGGCTGCTTTTTTTCCTCGGCAAGACATCACTACTGTCAAAGACAAAATGAATGCTTGCAGAAATTGGTGGTTTGAGCGAGATCAGTTTTTTCATCTGAGGAGGCAAGACGGGGTGGTACATCTGCAGCGACCTGCACAACACGTGCCGCAGCACAATGAGACGTCTCTGGAATTGAACCAGCTCAGTTTGTTGACTTACAACTGTCAGTCGCTCGGGGCTGGCAGTGTCCGACTCCAGGAACTTGCAGAAGACATGCACACACTCGGAACCACAGTGGCTGCCTTGCAAGGCACGAGGTGGAAATCCGCAGATCTGCGCAGTGAATGGGTTATATACAACCGCGATGGTCATGCTAGATTTTCTTGTTTCTCCTGGGGCAAACCTGTCAACAATAAGATGCTTGGCGTGCAGCTGCTTGTGAGCCATCGACTGCTGCAATCTGCAATTGTTCACACTCGCTTTGACCCTCCTCGCAGCCTTCATGGTCGCCTTGGAGGTCTCCGCATCACCAGCCGCACCAAGGGTGTTGAGATGGACGACCTGTTTTTGACTGCGTATGCGCCTCAGGAAAGTGACGATGCACAGCGGCCGATCTTAAGCGCTTCTTGAAATCTTGCATTCGGTTCCCAAACGCACGCGTGTCTGGCTTGTGGGTGACTTCAATGGCCACGTGGGCCAGAACTCACGTAGCACAGCCGTGGGTCCTCAAGCTGCAGACGAGACCAACAACAACGGAATGTCGTTGGTGCATGCTTGTGAGTCAGCGGGACTTTTCCTTGCGAACACATATAGCGGCTGGGGTCCCACATGCTGGACGCCAAACGGACGTCACAGCCATTGCATTGATTTCATTGCTCTGCCGCTTGAGTTTCGGGCGCGTGTGAAAAGCTGCAGGGTCAACAAAGTCCTCGGCAAGCGATGGCAAATGTCTCCAGTCCGTGATCATTGGCCTGTTGAGGTTACAGTAGCCTTGCCGAAACCGTGGACATTGTTAAAGAGCAGGCCGCAGACTGTTCGCTGGAACAAGCATGCCCTGCAGGTTGCCATTGATGATGTGTCAGTCGGCAACCGGTTTCTTCGAGAATGTGAACAGGCTTTGCGTGATGTGCCTCGCAAATTACCTGATCGTTCCAGTCGTGAAAGGGTGGAGTAGCATTGGCAACAAGTGCAGTCTCGGTTACACCAAGTTGCTTTGCGTCACTTCTCGATGCGCCCTTCCCAAAAGTCTTGCAAAATGCTACCTGAAACTTTTGATCTCTTGCAGCTTCGCACCGCAGCACAGGTCAGTTTGCTTGACCACACTGAAAGCTTCATTGAAAGTTGGAGTGCTCACGATGTCTGGCGGCCGGTCGCTTGGTTTTTCCGTTTGTTCAAGCTGTCGTTTGAATACTCCCGCCTTCGAGCCGCTGCCAAGTTTGCGGTTAAGCGTGATGAGAAAGCATGGCTCCGCAACCTTGATTCAAAGCTTCAGCGGGCTGTGGAAATGCATGATTCGCGTGAAGCCTGGGCTGTCAGTCGACAGCTGGCTGGCCATGGGCCAAGTAAAGTGTATGACCGCGTTGTCCCCGCAGCACGCCTGATCACCAGAAGCCAATGGAAGCAACACCTTCGTGAAGTTTGGAACGGTAGTGAAAACACTGATGATGTTGTGCACCCAACTCTGCGTTGTTCCGAACAAATGCAGCCTGCAATTGCCGGTGAGCGTGGCCGTGAGGCATTGCTTAAGGCGGCCAAATCCCAGGCACGTGGACGTGCCACGCCTCAAGGCAGTCTCCCCGCTGAGCTGTGGCAACTCCTTTTGCAAGCTCGGCCCGTGTGTCCTGTCAACGTATCCTCCATTCCGGAGATTTGCATGGGGGCCTTCGAAAGCATGCAGCGTGTTGGTTGCAACCCTCAAAGTTGGTGCGATGGTGGGGCTGCCCACTGCCTAAACCTGGTGGTGTCTGTGGTCCAAATGGGCAGCGCATCATCAACTTGCTTGATCCGGCAAGCAAGTTGTTTTACAAGGCTTTGTTGCAGTTTGTGCCTGATCAGCCTGCCGATCACCAGTATGGCTACGCATCCAGCCGGTCACGTCGCGATGCCATCTTGCATGTCGAAGCTTGGCTCGACCGGCTCAGGGTGAATGGCTTGAGCTCTGCTGCTACACTGTTTGATTTGACGAAAGCTTTTGACACACTTGCTCTCAACTGCATTGAAGATCTTCTCCACAATGAGCCGATGCCGGCGTCAGTTCGCGAGATGCTTCTTGATCTGCATCGCCGTTTGCGCATCAGTCTAAAACAAACCGATGGCGGGACCTTGCAAATGAAACTTGAATCCGGTGTGTTGCAGGGCGGCGGAACTGGCCCGCGTATCTTTCGCATGGTCTACGACGCTTGCATCACACGTTGGCGTGATGCCACGCGTGAAAACGATGTGATTGTTGCTTACAACGGCCGTCGCCTTTCGCTCAGTGCTGCTGCCTATGCCGATGACCTTGTTCGCATACAGTGTGGCAACACCTTGAAGCAGCTTGAAGATCGCACACTTGCATGTACTCATGCTTTGACTGCCGAGCTTGATCCCCGCAACTTGAAGTTGAATGCGAGGAAGGGCGAAACTTTGTTGTCCTGCAAAGGCAAGGGTGCTTACACTGCTGCAAAGCGTGCTTTCAGTGGTGAGTGGAGCGGATACCCTGTTAAGCTTTGTGTCAAATACCTTGGTGCGCAGTTGCAAGCAAACGGCTCTTTGCAAGCTGAGCTACAGAAACGGATTGGTGCTGCAAGGTCCGGCTTTGCCCGCTTTTCGAAGTTGTTCAAACGCGGAACAGTTC